CATCATTTTTCTTTACAAATTTCAAAGATGACTGAAGTTTTTTTTTCTTATGTGATACCAGCAGTTCCAAACCTGCTAGAGTTGATCCCTGCTGCTGCTGAGTCCCTGATGGAGTTTGCTGCTGGAAACAAACTGGGATGGGGGAAAATGTCAGTCAGTGCAGAACTGTGCAGAAGGCTTTTAGGATTGAGATGATGAATTTTCTATACAGGAGGAATAACTTGAAACTGCTGTAGTTCCACTTTGCTTACTCCCGCAAGATTTTGTCAGTGGTTTCTTAGTTTCATATTGCTTTCTGCATAATAGACTGAAGCAGAATGAATGGGATATCTTTAAAAGTTAGGTTTTTTGGTTGGTGGGTTGTTTGTTGTTTTTGTGGGTTTTTTTGAGCTGCCAGTACTTTGGAAGTTACCTTATCTCAAAAAGAAATCTTAGGAGATGGCTATAATTAGAAGCATCTGCATGAAATTTTGGGTTCTTTGAAGGACCTATAAAGAACTCTTATAGATAAGCACAGGTAACTTCATTTTTTATTGTTAGGTGGCTTGGCATGTCTTTGTAAAATGGAGGTGCATTCACTATGCAAAATATCTGAGAGTACTGAAATAGAAAGATCTAAAATTCTGTGGACATTTCTGTACAGGATCCAGAGCTTTTAACCTATCCCTTCTGTCAGCAGTACCAAGAGGAATCAAAAGAAGTAAATGCAAAACGTCTGAGTGATAGTCCCTTATACATGCTGCCAATAGTAAAGGGAAAAGAAAGCTAGAAGTCTCTCTAGTTCATCCATTATGAATTGAGCAAATGGTCACAGCTTTTGTTAAAGGCAGTTCTAGGTCAGATGAAGTCCTGTTGCCATGTCTAGATCCAGTGAGGAGCTACTTCTATGAACAGGGGTCTAGGTTGAGGGAACTAGGCTTCTTTAGTTGGATGGAAAGTAGGGTAAGGGACAGTCCAGTAGCTGTTTACAGCTACTAGAGGATGATTATGAAGATAATGGGACCAAACTGCACTTAGTAGTGCCAGATGACAGCAAGGGACCTTGACAACAAACTGTTTCTTTGGAGATTCAGGTTGGATGTTAGGAAAATCTTGTTACTAGGAGAGTAGTGCAGGACAGCAGCAGATCATCCAGAGAACCAAGTATCTGCCCTCTGAGCTTTTCAGAACTCACCAAGGCAAAGCCACTCTTGATGATAGTTTTCTCTTGAGTCAGAGGCTGGACTAGGTAACCCCCTGAGGTTTCTTACAACCAAAGTTTTAAAGTAGACTGGCTCAAGTGAAGAATTTTTTAGACAAGTTTGGATTGAGCTGACCAGCTACTGTGGGATGCCTGGTGGTAAATTTAATTTCATGTCCTCAATACAGCTTTTGTAGTTCATACAATAATGATTCAGTGAACTATACTGAGATTAGTATTGTTGACCAAAGTATTCATGACTTGAGGACCAGCAGAATGTTTTTGTCCACGGGTTTCTTTTGGTCTCACCTGTCCCAGAGGGAAGGGGCAGAACTCTGATGGTTAATACTGCCCAAACAGGCAAACCCGTGGGTCAGCTGAAAATAGCTTCAGGGGATGAGGTAGCACTACAATTGCCAAGGGGGCAGGTGGTCTGCAGTGAAATTTTACTTATGATCTTAAGTTCGTAAGACTATGTACCCCACAGCAAAAAAGCTGTGTAATCTTTATCTTTTTCTCTGCAGACCCCTTTGCTTAGTACTACCTTTAAGTAAACCAAAGGTAGCAGATAGGATACCTTCTATTCTTGTTTTGGCTCCACTAATATGTATTAGTGGTCATATTTTATCGTTATTAGAATTGGTATGAGGGGGAATAGCCAAATGAATGGCTTTGTCAATTTATAACACTTTTTTTTTTTTTTTGAGAGCAAGGAAGAGGAGAGTCAAAGAAAAATTCAGAAGAGATGAAGTACACTGTGTTAGAAAGCTGGATGCTATCCCCTTACAGGCATTTCCCTACAAATAAACTCTCCCTTCCATCTTTGAATCTCTGGTGAATGAAGCCCTGTATGCATTTTGATTTTTGAGGCATTCTTTCTGTAATTTACTTAATTTTTTCTGGGATTAAATATTAATGTGCACTACTTGAAACATGCTGTCTTCAGAGGTCATGCTTTTGGATGCCATTTTATCCCACACAGTGCTTCTGCTAGAGGACCTTGTTTCTTGCTCTGCATTACTCATACTTGTTTACTTATTTTTTTTCAGAGTGAAAACAATTCTTGTTTCTCTTTGTATGTACAGCTACTTATTTCTTGGTTTCTGTTACATGACATTAGGGAAACTGAAGATTCATGTCCATGTATGTAGTATTATGTGGCAGAGTAATTAGGTAAAGATCCACGTGTAATGTTTAAAAGCATTATACACCAAAGTATTTCTGACACTTCACAGCAGTGAAGAGAGCAAGCTGAAACAAAGCAACCTGTTTTGAGGTACAAATGGAAATTTGGTGCAAAACTCATGACTGAATGCATGTAAGTCTGATGTTTAAAGAAAAGCTGGCTTGTATGAACACACACACAGACTTCACAAAACAGAGCTGCCTGCTAACCAAAAGACTACTTGCTTGCCAACAGTTCACTTGGCATAGCTTTCTCCTACCTGTCATCCATACTTCACAGAAAGAAATAGAACCCTGTACTTTTATAGTCCAGGCCTTCTCTTCTTGCCAAAGTAATGCTTTGTTGATTATATGGAGTCCTCTGCTCTTACATGTGCATGTTATTAATTGCTGTAAAGGGGTGAGGGATTGAATCCTACTCTTACTGATTTTAAAAAACAAAAATTATCCAGTTGGCTCTTGTTTGCTGTAAAGTTTCCTGGAGCCTATTTTCTCTACTTACAGTGGAGATTGCTTGCTGATTTTCCTGCTTGTCCCTGAGCGTATACCCTACAGACTCAGGCTGTTAAGTGGCAGCTTGTAGGGAAATGGGAGGTAGCATCACCTGTTAAATAGCGTTGAGTTGTTTTACACCTGTATTGCAGTAGTATGCAAAAACAATAGGGTAATTTTAATGAATTAGAAAGAGTGAGTTGAATTATTTTTTTGCTAATTGAAGATGGGAAAATTCAAAATGTAGCTTAGTTTCAGTGGCATCTTTTTCCCTTCGGGTTTATAATGGAGTAATAAAATAGAGCTTCTGGATTTAAAGGATAATTAGAGATTCTCATTACATCACTGGTTGGAAGATGTATTATTTGGAGGCATTGCTGGAATTACATGCAGGATTTCGAATACAATTGAGGTTGATAACTGAAGCTTCATAGATTTTAAAAATACTTTTTTACCTGCAGGAAACTTAATTGGAATACATCTCTCATGTAGTTATGGGAAGTATTAATTTTGGTCATTTAGGAACTTTTTGAAAGACAAATCTTGCTCCTGTGTCTTCCCAGTAGGTTGGAAATCCACAAGATAAGGGGCAGAAGTCTAATATATGTATCCTCCACCTATACTCCTTGAAACACAAGAGGGTTTTACTATGCTCACGTAACTTTGTGGCTGAGGTTAATAGGTTTTATGAAAAGGTGATTTATCAAATGGTTTCCTCCTGTTGTGGGTTTGAATAGGAACTACTCCAAATCTGAGGCCAGAACAATGGCTGTGGAGGAAATTAGTCATGGAAGGATCTGTGGAGGAAGGAGCATGTTTTTATCAGCAACAGAAGAACTTCTCAACACATGAGAGTCTTACTAAAGATGACTTATGCATCTGAGTAGTGACGATTTACACCTTTATATTGTTTCCAATTGAGTTTTTAAGGCTTAAAGGTACAACATGTGTTTTCTTCTTAATTTGACACATTTGGAAAATATTCTTCATAACCACTTGGTTTCAAAATACATTTTTATAAAGGCTTAAGCATTTGGTGTTTATTTCAGCCAAAGCCAAAGGTTTTGGAGGCTTCCATCAGATAATTCCCTGGTTGCAGTAGATATTGTACAGACTAGGGGGCCATGAATTCAGTTAGAAAAGAGAAGGATTTATCTTGAATTTATGATACGTGTTGCTGGCTAAATGATGCTCGTGCTTTTACCCTATGATTCCTTGTGATTTATAAAACATATTCTGAGTAGGGTTCAGCAGCTGAAGGTAAAGGATTTCTCTTTTTTTTGTTTTACATTCTGCTAGATGATTTGGGAAGATCTATTCTGAAAAGAATATTTCTGAGGAAATAGTTACATTTTTGGATGGGTAAAAGTACCTAAGTATATGGCATCTGAAATGGCACTAGACAATTTTATATCTGGGACATCTGCATAGGGCTGGCAGATATAAGACATACCAGTAACCCAGTCCTTCCAACAGTGGCCACTGGAGGCCAACAGGAATTCTCTGGGGTATCTAGGAGGTACTAGATATCTGTGTTTGGATGACTGAAATTTAAATTTTAATGTTTTAACACTTTGGTATTTCAGATGAGCAAACTGCAAACACCTTTTTTACATCTGTCAGGAGAAATAATATAATCACTTTCCTGAAAAAACTTGCACAATTCTGTGTTCTAAGAGTAAGACAATTTAAATGCCAATTTATTTTACCTAGCTTGTTATTTTGCCAGTTTATAGTACCTAGCTTATGGGTTATTTTACCGACCTTCCCTCTCCCCAGAAAGGTCCACGTCCAAAATGAAAAAGAAAATCAGGAGGAGAATCCCAGTTCAACTCCTCTTATGTTAATTTGGTGTCAATGAGTTATTCAGAGGAGGAAGGTGTGAGTGAGTGCAAGGACTGATGTTCAGTCAGGGGAAAAAAAAGCCCTGGAACATGTTCAGCATAGCTTAGAGAACAAGCTTATGTAGCTTATATAGCAACATAGCTGGAACATGCTTATGGCAAGCTGAGGATTTACACCAAAGCTGTAACTGTACATTGTCAAAATAGAGGTGTCCTTTAGCTATAGGATAATGTCTTCAGTTATTTGAAATTAATTTGAAAATCAAAAGGGCTATTGACTGCATGTAACTGAAGTGTCTAAATATTTATATTCCTAATAAAGGTTCTTCTGTAGTAAGATTTTATCTCTTACATGTTTAATGAAGGACACGATAGAAGAAGCCTAAGTGTGACCATCTCAGGTAACCAGTAAAGAAACATAGATGCTTTTAGGATATGATGGAATCTCTTAGAATAGCTGCTTTGGGATAGGATGAATCACAGCCCACAAATGCCTATTTCTCTTCAGTGACTATAAGGAGAGAGGGGGAGTAAAGTGACTCAGTAAAATGTAGTTGTGTATATTTGGTCAAATATATTTCAAGCTAAATGCATAAGGCTAAAATCCAGAGGCAGCTCAGCTTTCCATGGCACCCAGTATATGTGTCTCAAACACTCAGCAACAAAAGTTTGGTTGGAGTGTACTGCAGTTCTCCTCTGGCTGATGCCTTCATCACCCTTCCCAACTAGAACCACCCTGTGAAGGAATGGTGCACGTGTACTTTTTTTTCATCCTGATGGGGAATCGGTGTCCCACTATAATAAAGTCAGGATGCAGACTGGATGTGTGTCTGAACCCGTGTATTTGGATCACACAATTTAGACATGGCTTAAATTCCTTGTGGAAGCGGCGGAAGGAGAGAGAGCATTTGGAAGTCCTTCAGGAGCCACCTTAATTTTGGTAAGATTGATTCCTAACATGTAACTTGAATATTTGCTTGCTTCTGTGGTGTGTTTTCATTTTATATTTCAGAATATATGATGAAAATAGAATTGTCTGGTTTCATTTCTGAGCACAATCTCCAGTTTTCCTAGATTAGGGAGATGTTGGGATGTCTGGGTTTTAAGAAGTTAAAACAGTTGAAAAGCTGGAGTTAAAGTTCTTCTGATAAGCCTATTTTTAAAACCAAAATCAGACCAGTCCTTTCAGAACAACATACTTGTTTCCTGTTAGTAACTTGGAATTTTGACATTTGTCTTAATTTTTTTAATCTACAGTGATTTCTACCATCACTTCAGCTCTGATACAGAGATTGAGGTATTTTGCAAATGCTGGCATCAGTGGTATTATGCATGAGTGCCTAGTTTTAAAATCTTGGCAGCTGCTTTGACTTTTCTTTATGCTGTCATTCAGACCATAGCTACCAAGGCTGAATTTTGCTCATAGTAACAGTTGTGGGAAGTTACTAAAGGAAGTGTCTATTACTGACACAGGAAATAGTTTTGCAGTTCTTTTTATCATTGCTGAACTTACCAAAATGTCACTGTTGCCATAGGTCATCTGTGCAAGGCTCAAAATCATCTATCTGTTACACTGAATGTCACTTAAATTGCTTGGTGACTACAGTGTTAGTGTTACATATGCTCCACACTTCTTGCAAAACTCTCCTTAAATTGACAAGTTTTGTTGTTTCTGGAATTATGATTCAAGAGTAAAGAAGGAAAAACAACTGTGTGGGTTCTGCATTTTTCAGTTCTCCTCCTCTTTATTACTTCCAAAATTGTCCTTTTCTCCAAAAGTTATATCAACATCATTCAGAAAATTGTGTGTAATAGTCACCTTTAGCAGCATTTTCCCCTTGATTCATTAATTACAGGAGCATGTGAAGCAGAGCAGATGGCATTTTCTGAGTTGGGAATTTACCTTTGTTTGTTATTCTTTGTTGAGTTTGACATCTGAATTTCTCAGCTTCTCTAAGATGATGTTGTTTTGCAGTTAAATATATAATATGGTTGTATAAATCGGCTTGAAAATTGAAATTCTGGCCGTTTTCTTTGTAACCGATGTGGAAAATGAATGGGCGCATGGGCATATCTCCATTTGGAATCAGTCATTTTAGAACAATTAACTCCTCAATGTACAGAGCAATTATTTTTAAAAATACCTTTTTCTTTAGTGCATGAATTCGTGCCTTGTTATGGCACTACTCAAGTGCCATTTTTGAGAAAGAGCATACATTTTCTCTTGAGCTTTTTGATAGGTCCTAGCTAAAAGGTCCACAAATGGGATGTGATATTTTTTCGGCATTCCCTATTGAGTTTGAAGGGCTTCTGATCCTTTGGAGTAAGAGGATCTAAAACATAATAACCCATGATAACGAGGATCTGTGTGGCTGCTAGTTTTGTGGTTTTGATTCAGGAGTCCTAGGGATGGTATCTGGGAGCACCTCAACCCTGTTTGACTGCAGTTAAAGCTCTACAGTGGTTGAAGATCAGTGTATGCGCTGTGAAGCAGTGGCATTTAAAATAGGATTGTGGAGGTGGTGCTGAACCCTCACCTTTTGAGGGGTTGTGTTAGTGACTTATCTTGGGTTTGGGGGGTTAGGGGTTGAGGTAACTTGCAAGTTTCCTCCCTCTTTAGAGGCAAACTAACAGACCACGGAAGATCTTGCCACGTGTTGGGGTATGTGCATGTGGTCTGTGGAGAGGGTGGATGGCTCCTGGTGGCTGGTGGTGCCTGTGCTGCTTACTCTCCCTTCTCTGGTTTGGGCACCATCTTCCTCTGTGTTGTAACCTTCTGCTTGACCAGATCCAGGATTTCCAGACTCTTGTCTCTTGGCTGTCCTCCTCCCTTTCCCTCTCATTGCTGTCTCTCCCTCTTCTGCCCAGCTTCATGCCATGCTTTGGTCCACCGGCCTTTTCTGACACCCCCTCTGCCGTGTGCTCTCAAGGGCTGGTCTCATGCATGTCCCTGGGGCACCAGCCGAAGGGTCATGAGAGCAACAGGCGAGATTGTCTTCCTGCTGTCAGCTCCAATGTCTGGTCTCTGGCAGATGGGAGCAGCAGTTACAGGGGAAATCCTGCTAATCTCCTGTAACTTGAGCCCATTACATGCTCAGTCGCACTGTGGGGCTGGTGCCTTTCCAGCCGCATGCGGACGGATGGCTGAAGGAGACGGACACTCACTGCAGAACATTTTCTGAGATTTGCACTGTAGAGGTCAGAAACAAAAACCAAAAAGATGCTGTGAGTCAGCTGAATGCTTGCAGGTTTTAAAGCTTTGTCAAATAGGAAAATATTTTCATATGCATAGCAAAAAAGCAGCCTTGATTTTAACAAAAAAAAAAAAAAATCAAACCCCAAACCCAAAAAAAGCAAGGGATCAGCTCTTTGCCAAATTTTGAGACTGCCCCAACATGGGCAGAGGAACCAGTTCCCCAGTGAGTAAGTTACAAGGATAGCAGAGGAACATGGTTTTGTCTAGGCTAACTCAGAAATAGGCAAACTGTGTTTTGGCAGAAAAGTAAAAAAATCCTGCAGCAGATGTCCAGCATGGAAAATTTTAACAAGGGCAGCTCGAGTTTGGCAAAGTCAAAAGAATGTGGAAAATCCTGACAAGATGCACCAAGCCATCTTAATAATGGATGGAGTTACCACCCTTGTCCCCAGGGTCTCTTGAACCCACTAGAATCAACTATTTGTGTGTTTGGGGGGGGGGGGGGGGGGGGGCAGAGGCAGGGGCGTTGTTTGGGATTTTTTATATAGGGCAGAATGGAGGGGGTGATTGAATAGAAAACAAGGGCTGGCTGGCAGGAGTCTTCTCAGCAGGAGCATGTTTCATCCGTGCCTGGAAGGGGAGGGTTTTCACAAATTGGGTGGGAGATGGTGGAGCCCAAAGGAGAGTTGTTGCTTACAGGATAGAGGAATAATGGATTTTTGGGAAGCTGTGTTTATAATATGCAAAATAGTCCATAGGAAACAATGGGGCCTTGGGACAGAGCTGCCAGTGAATGAGAGCTTTGTTTTCCTCTTGTCTATTCATATTTCTAAACTTTTAGTGGCATTTTAAACACGTTTTACATATTTTTTTGTGTAATGGCTTGAATTGCCTAAATTGCTGTCTAAAGTAGTGTTGCACTGCAATCTTTATCCCCTTCTGGATAAAGACTGACTTTCAGCTTTAAGTTCCTTTCTGTATTTTTCTTAATTGCAGCTCTTATTCAATAATCCTTGGCTGCTTTGTTCTCATGTTTTAAAACTTTAGTAAAATTTGTGGGAGAACTGATTGACAGCAGACCTTGCGTAACAAGTGTGTCTAGTTGCCCACAGCTTGACTTGAAAATGGCAACTGGTATCATAGTCCTTATGCCAGAACCTTGATACAAATGAACATTAGTTGCAAGCTAGTTGCACGAACTGCAGTTTAGATGCTGCTGATGTGAATTGTCTGCTGCTGATATGAATTAAAGCACCATCATTTGGATGATGTTTTCATTGAGAAGCATCCCATACCTGCAGTCCCCAACAACCAGTCTGAAATATTCAGAAAGATGTTACGCTTGTATTGCAGTTAATTGCAGGTGCTGCACATAAGATTATGCAGTATTAAAATGAGAATATTACTGCGTGAATTGGAGTGTGTTTTGGCTGCACATTATTGTTTGATATATTATGGTGCGCAGCTCACCTTTACAGCCAAAACAGCATCATTGCAGTTTTGCAGTTTCAGAAACATTGTTTGTGCACGGATTTACAATTAGCAAAGGCCTTGAAAATCCTTGTGCAAGAAATGGTATAGCTGCTGTTGCAGTGGAGGGGAAGGGAGTTGTTTGTTTTTGCAGAGTATGTTATTTCATGGAGGTATCGCTTTACCTCACCAGTAAAACTCCTTCACTGCGCGAGGGAAATTCCTGGTTCATTGGTATGGATGCATTGTTTTTACACATTAGAAGTGCTGTGTTGCCGTGTCAATCATCCCGTTAGGATCAGTTTAAGAGCAGTAGGGCTGACGAAGCTGGGTGTGATTGGCTACCATATGCTGGGAGGGCTCTGTGAGAAGGAAGGGCTGCAGTCTTTCAGCAACAGAGTTTAGGCTGTGTCTTTGCTTCATCATCTGAGGAAAAATCCCCAGATAAGGCACAAGGCTTTCCTAGGAAAAAAAAAAAAATACAGGCTGCTCATCGTTCACGTGAGAATTAGTTACCATGATGCGATGGGAAAGATATGGCTGTTTGTTTATATCAGATGTTCCTGTTGACGTTGGGAATGTGTCGAATAGACAGGGCTAAACAAGGTAGGAGGATCCTTGTCTTTTATCGAATGTTTAAAGAGTTTGCTGCAGTATGCTGCATACTGTATGTGTTGCTTGGGGGAGTCGGGGAAACAGTGCTACTCTGGTGAATAGATTCTGTTTGGGTGCAATAGGTGGACTTTATGGTAACTTGTTTTCGAAGGGTATTAATTTCCAGTGTAAATAGCTCTCTTCAGAAATAGAACATGAGTATATGCATATTAACACAAGTAAAAAAAGAAATAGGTCAGTATGTTTCAGAAATGCTGCTACCCTAATTGGATTTTTAGCTGGGTTGTTGTCTGGAAATGCTGCCTAGCTTTAAGAAGGAGAAGGAGTCAGCCTGGAAATCTGTGAAGTTTATAGCAGCTATGTTTGAAGATTTAGCTGAATTAGACTGGCTGATCTAAATAATTCCCTATTGGAGGCTTTAACTAAAGCCAAGACTGCCTGTTTTAGACTTTAAGGAGCCATACAACGATATTACAGTATTTTACCCTGTTGTAAAAGTATTGGCATTTTTGACTGCACTTTGATTCCTTGTAGTCTTGAAGGAAAACTGGAAGAGTTTTTCATATTGTAGTTTAGCTGAGTGTTTCCCCTGTCCTTTCCAAGTCTTTGTCTTAGCAGCAAAACAGAACCTGTACATGAAAGGAAGGAAAACAAGGTTAATAATATGTGCTGCAATTATCTGATCTTTATACATTTTTAATGAGAGAACACACAGCTAGCAGAATAATTTAATGAGCAGGCTGGCTTTTAGAGCAATGATTTCACTGTGCTAAGGCATACCAACTTTCTTGCAGGGGAGGAGCCTCGAGGAGGAATGGTTAAGATTTATGTTAAATGCTCTGGAGAGAAGGAAGAGATGTTTAGGGAGAAGTCTGTGAAATTCTGGAAGAATAGTGTAGTTATTAGCTATTATTATTTGTTAGATGGAAAGCAAACTTTACCATCATGTTGCAGGAGGGATCTGAGAACATTTTCTCATCCTGGGATGTGATGAAGCCTCTTCAACTTTCTCAGACTGCCATATGCATTGATAGTGCTCAATACCTTTCAGGATTTCACCCAGTTAGCGACCTGAATTAACATGCTGACTTCAACTGGATTATAGAAGCATCGTTTATATGTACAGTATGTAATAGAGTTTTTAGGTTTTTCTTTTTCCTAAGGGTAACAGTTGGTGAGACAGCGAGAAAATGTTGTCATCTTATTTCTCCTGTAATAGCCATGAACCTTGCATGTAGGTGTATTTATTCAAATAGGACATTGGTAGGAAAAAGAAAAGTGTATGAACCGAGGAAGACTAAAGATCAATGTCTTAAAGAGAAATTAGGTAAAAGAATGTTTTACTGCCTGGAAAACCTTTCATTGATGTAATTTTGGGGAAAGTTTCAAGACTTCTTTTATCCTACGAATGAGTTACACTATTTTTAAAAGTATTGCATTAAGTAGGCCCTTCTAGACCAACTGTCCATCACCTCTCCAGTTTTTCAAGGAGAAGTACAGGACAAGTGCCAGAACTGCCGATGTCACCTCCTGACTCCTCACAACTGACTTTGCTCAGAGGAGGTTGATACAACTTCCCTGCTCCCTGGCCAGGTACTTGCTGAAGGCCTGCAGCAAGGTTGTTGACATGTATTCAGTTCATGAGCTGGTCATTTTTGAATGCTACATCTTCTAAATAAAATCAGCCTCATTTCTTCTGAGAATTTCAGGCTTTGCTAACGAGGAGAACACATGTCAAGATGCAGAGTGTTATTATTATAAATCCATAGGATATGGATAAGTATATTTAGCTGTCTATCACTATTGATGCTTAAATGTGTTGTTTGTGTGCACTCTGTTAAGCTTGTGAAGCAAAGACTAATAATTAGAAGCAAGTCAAATAGTCTTTTTCAAGCTATAAAATGTGAGCCAAACAAACAATTTTTGAAAATAAAACAATTTTCACACAAAGCTTTCAGAGAAAACTTTTCAGTCTCCTGTTTTGAGGCAGTCTCTTACTTTCAGATGGTTTAAGTGGCTGTTTTTCATACCTTGGAGATCAAAATATATAGAGTTATTCTTTTTATGCCTGACTACCAAAGTGCAAATTTGCATTCATCACTCAGACAAATAGTTTGAGTCAAACTACTGACAGACAATCAAGTGACAAAAGGATTTTAAAAAATACTTCCTGATTAAGGCGTATATACAGTAGTACTTTACATGGATAGGTGAGTGAACCTTCATCTTGGAGGGTAGAGGTAGTAGTAAACATTCTGTATTTACATTTATTATGTAAATAGTTGATGTCAAAAGTGTTTTGGACCACATTCTGATACCTCTTTTCATTTAGCTTAATTGCTCTGTGGATTTCGTCAGAGCTATTAGTGTGATAACGTCTTACTGTGTGCAGTCTGTTTTCAAGGAATAATTACTTTGTTTAGAATTAGTCTCTTCATTTTTCTAAGGTAGAATTTTCTAATGAGTTACAGGTCCTGAAGTATAGTGCTTGACTATAGAGTGTTTATAAAGTCAAATCAAGTTCTTAATTTGTAAGTGTATATTTTACAGAAATGTAAGATAATTGTGTGCTACAATTTATTTTTTTTTCTAAGCAAGAAAAATGGCTCTTAATGTTACGTGGGATTTCAGGCACTCAGGTCTCACCTCTGCTGTGAATTTATCTTCTATGTTGCTCACAAGTATGTTAGGAATAGTCTGCACTGTGTTTATTTGTAAAAGCTCTGTAAAATATTCAGTTTTTACAGCATTGAGAGATGAGAAAAAGACTTAGTGTTCAATTAGAATTCCTTACTAATGATTTTGCATACAGTTTTAATTTTCTAAATCATTAGACACATTCCTAAGATTTAAATTTCATGTGATAGCTATTAGTGATACCTTGACTCCTAATGTTACTAGAAATTTCTGACTTTGAGGATTTTTTTTTCCCTCTTCCAGGCAAGAAACACCTTTTTTTAAGCCAAATTACTTTTCACTTTTTTTATGCATATGGCTGTTACAAAATTATAGCAAAAGAGAATGAAATCACTTGCTTTAAAACTTACTAGTATGTATTTTCTTTTTAAAAGCTTTGATTGGGAAGCTAATTTGATATGTTTAATACAATGTGTTATGGTTAACTAATGTGAACCAGTGCTATGTAACTGGTCTGTAAACAGGCTGAAACTATAGCCTGAGGAATATAAAACTAATTTCAAGAGAGTGTCAGTGCTGAAAACTAGTTCAAATAATAGCAGTATTAACTGCTTGACTAATTAAACTAATCTTCTTATACATTATTAGCAAATGCAGTGACAGTTGTTGGTTATTGATATACGAAGTCTTCTTTTTGAAAAGTCTTCTTGTAGAAGAAAACTTTTTTGCTCTATTTGGAATAGAGAGTACGTGAGGAGAAAGAAGTTATGCAGCCCCTTTCTAGAATCTGCCAACTTTTTAATTTCCGCATTTTTTTATTATTCTTTTGTAATAAGGCCGTTGAAACACCAAGCTCTCCCTCCAATAATGTCAAGTTCTTAGTTCAATATTTCAAGCATGCTAAAAAAGGAAAACTTCAGGGATGTGAAAATTGAAGAGCATACCTAACAGGGGATTCAATGCAACATCCTTATAACTGACACAAAGAAATACTAATTTATAGAGGACTCTGTGCTACTGATGATTACTAAAGCTGTTGAGAACTGCCAGTGTGCAGCTTGCTGCTTCCACAGAAGACTTGCAGGATTCCTGGAGTCTTAAGTCTGGAAAAGACCTGGGGGGCTTGTGATACCTGAAACTTTGCCAGTTAGAAGAGCTCTGCTGTAAACAAATTGATAAACACAGAGGTTCACACTCTTCTTTTAAAATTATTATTATTTTTCTTTTTTTTTATTTCTTTTTTCTCCCCCCCCTTTTTCTACCTAGATATATGTTGACAGATGCATACGCACATACATAATACATATACAGTCATAAAAATGTTTTTTTTTCATCTTTGTGATTTTTGTAAGACAGAAACAATAGCTAATAAAGACAGTGGGAGGGATTTAGTGGTACAATCGCTGCATAAAGAAATGGATCCAGAAATAGGAACAGATGGTTCATATCAGAGTCTATTAATTTTTTTCTATTTCGATCAATGATTTATTTTTATCAGTTTCTGAGTGGATGATAAACAGCATTTTGGGAAGATTTGGGTGTCGCATATTGCTGAACTCATAGAGACCAGGTCAGTCTGGAAGTTCATGTGCTGTAAAATCTTCTCTCCTACAGGGAGGACAGTGCCTTTGACTATAGGCAGAATTAGAGAGTACGAGTAAGGAAAAATGCAGAAGTGTTTTCCCTTGGTAGTTTTATGGAAGGAGGAAGCTAGGACGTGGTTAGAGATTTTGTTGTTGTTGTTGTTTTGTTTTGGGTTTTTTGTGGGAATTCTGAAGACAGCTTTTCAGTATGTTTTTTGTGTTTCATCACTTTTAAGACCTAGGCCTAACAAATAATTTAATTTTTTTTAACCCTCTAGCATTCTTTCCTATCCAGACTGAATACATTTTTCCTTGAGTTTCTGAGGAGTTTAATGTTGTTGGTGCTTTTTTACCAAAATGCTCTGTTATATATTCTTCAGATATACGGAATGGTGCAGCCCCCCACCCTCTAATTTCCTGAATCTGTCATGATTTTTGCACTTTATAGGTATTATGGGCAGTGTTTTGAACCTAACCTAAAACTAACCTAAGATTGCCAAGTGGCAAGATTTCTATTACTTTCAAGCACTCAGAAGGATGATTTTTCAATGCAAGATTTCAGCATGTCGGGTTTGTGCCTTGACACTCTCTTTCGGCAGCTCTTTGTGGTACACTCCTCCTGAAATCGAAATGGGGGAAGTAGCTGCCTTGTTGGACAGCAAAGCCCAGTTTTAGTCCATTTTTATCTTTTTTTGGTATTTCTTTCCACTTTTCAGGCTGTCTGCAGTGCTGTTATCAGCAGTTATATGCATTTTTCAAGCTTAAAGCTGTACTGGTTTGTCAGCAGACACCTCTGGCTGTGCCTCTGGTGGGGCAGGGGGGCTCAGCACTGGCAGGAGTGTACCTCTGCACCCAGTTAATGATTCAGGACTTCAGCACTGTCTCACTCTTATTTACTTAAAAGGCTGCGATAACATATATGGGATTTCCCTGATGGTTGTGTTCACCTGTGGTACAACATCCCCAGCTACAGCCTGTGTCTGCCATGAGGAGACTAATACCAGCTTTCCCACCTTCATCACCTCACCCTGATAGCCAAAACTCAGTGGGGCCTGGGGCACCTCCTCCCACTGGCAAGAGTCTTTTGCAGAGAAGGATGCCGGTGCGTGGGCTGGTGGTGCTGGGGATTGCAGTGCTGCAGTCCTTATTGGCATGCTGAACATGCTCTGACAGCACGGCACGCCGCTGTCCTGGAGTTCTAGTGCTTGTGTTTAAAAACTTTTTTGCTTCATGTGTATTTTTTTACAATTCCGTTGCGTATTTTAGTTCCCCTCTGCTAACGCTGGGACAAGGTTGTTTTATAGCCCTAATTTTACGGAGGTTGTTGGGGGAGTGGGGGTGGAGCGTGGCTAAAAACCCCCAAGATTTTCGTTGCCACATTAGAGAAGACATGAAAAGCTTTGAAAGTTGACCCACTGATGTGTTTATAAAGCCAGTGCACTTTCTCTTCTCCCCCCCCCCCCCCCCCCCCCTCTTTTTTTTTTTAAAGACCTCATTTAATGCTCAGGACTTTGTGCAGTGAGGCCACTTTCAAAGGCTTTAGTATCCACAGTAGCAGCTCTTTGAAGTAGAGACGCCAGCAGGGAACAAACCATCAGCTTAATCTTTGCTGTAAAAGGTCCTAAGTGGTAAGAAGCCACAATATCCATCTCTAGGGGAGAAGCTGGAGAGCAATACTTGGAACTGAATCCATCACCCGGACCTTGCCTGTGGAGCTGGAAGTCTTTGGACACTTCCATGGGGCATTAGGGGTGCAGTCCCTTTCATCTCTCTGGTTTTCCACTCTTGTTCTGTCCCAGCTTCTTTCCCCAGTGTCTTGAAGAGGAGGACACAACCAAAAGGTGAGAGAATAAAGTCTGAGAATAAATGTGTTTCTGCAAGGGTTTGTTTGCCTTCCCAAGTTGGTAAATCATTCCTCTGGAATGCAGAGCAGGTGGCACAGTCGCTGGTGTTACCTGCCAGTCCTTGGGTGGCAGTGTGGCATATGTCCATCCAGTTAGGTCAGACTAGATGGCTTCGTGGTGGCCCCAGGAGATAAAGCAGTGCCTTCATGTTCTGAATATCATCATCTGGAGGTGCCTGTCTCCCTAATGGCATGAGGACGGTGAAGGAGATCATGCTTTTTGGTCACCAGTGATGCATTTAACTGCTCGAAGCTAGATAGGATGAGTGTGCCACCTGTGAAATCTGTTTGTTTGAAACAGGAGATGAAGGTGTTGAGTTTCTCACAGGAGGGCTTGATGATCAGCGTGTCCCTATGGACCTGTAGCCATCTTTGGTTGCAGAACTACACTGCTTTTAAGGAGCTGCCATCCTGAGGTGGAGAAGGCAGAAGGGTAAGCTGAGGACAGCAGTGTGTGCCTTGACTGGCACATGGCTCAAGTCACCAGGGGTGAGAGGCTTACTGAGGAGGGCTTTCCTTCTCGACCATAGTAGCCAGTGTTGATTCTGATGACTATTTAAATAATCTGATTTTTAAGCTGAAAAGTTATTTTTTAACTTGTTCACGTTTTTGACCTTCAGCACGTCACCTGCCATTTAACTTCACCCTCGTGCAGTTTGCTGTATGCAAAGATAGCTGTCTTTTGTGTGGCTTCCCCACTGGTAAAACACTGAGTGGCCCCCGCGTCCTAGTCAAAATCTAGTGGTCCTTGTCATCAGTCTGTATGAATTTCATATTCTTTCTGTTGTCAAAAGCATCACTGTTGCCTCTTTGTATATGTAAGCCTTTCCGTAGTGCTGATGGTGCTATTGCTGTTCTCTTACTCTTTTATCATTCCAGAGCTACATACTCCATGACTATACACAGTAGTGTAATTCTTTTCTGTTTTCCTTTGATAGTGCCAAATGTTTTGCTTGCTTTATATTCCATCAACTGCTGAGTATTTTGCAGAAGTCTTCATCAAATTGCCTGTAATGTCCATATGATCTTTCCTCTGTAGCAGTGTCTTGTTTGAACCTAGTGTTGTGTATATACTATTCGTTGCTCGTCTGTTTTTCCCCTCATCTGCATTATTTTTGCCTATCATTATATTACACTGATGTCATTTTACCATCCAGTGTGCTCATTATTATGAGATCCTTTTGTAACTCTTCCCAGTCGGCTTCTGGTATGACTTAGCAAAAATTTTATGTTAACTGCAAACTGTCTTATTGTTTATGGTTATGTTGCAAAGCAGAGAAGGTAAGCTGTTGGCAAACTTAATTATGAAATTACAGTAGATTATTAGAAGTAAAAACATATTTAATCTTGTGAGTTTGCTGGATTTGGGGGCTTTTGTAGAATTTTTTTACTCTGAACGTTTGCTCTGACTTCAGTCTTCATACTGTCTGCAAATGTTTAGCCCTTTTAGCTATCCTTTTAAAATAAATTTCTTTTAACATCCATAAGACCTAAGTCATTACACTAGCTGAGTTCCACAAAAATCATCAGGTTACAAAGAGGAGATGATTCATTTGTTTTTATTTTGCTTAATTTTGAGCTTTTAGAATTTGTGTTTCCTAGCTTTTCCTTACCATTGTCAGAGGAACTGTACTCCTTAATAAAAATTGACAGTTGCTAGTAAACACATTTGTAGGTGATAAGGTTTTACGAAATGCACTTGATGTTTTCAGGGTTCCAGTGAAATGGATAAGAGGTAGCTGTGCTGCAGTAGGGTTCTGTAGTGGGTCCTTAAACTTGAGGATTCTTGTCATATATAAGGTGGTTAGTGGTTTGGGGTTTTTTTCTTGGTTTTTGTTTTGGTTTGGGTTTGGTTTTTTTTTGTTGTTGTTATTTTGGTTTGTTTGTTTCTTTTTTCTTAAATAGAAATGAAATTAAAACAGACTTAGTAGTAATATTCTGCTTTGATATCTCATCCCTTGTGTCTCCAATCGCTGAAACAATACTTTTCACTTTACAGAAAGATAAATGTGATGATTTTCATCTTTGAATTGCTTCACTCGAAGGTAGAATGATTGCCCTGTAATAGGACTGATGAGCAAGTTTCTACTTTTCTGATTTAAAAATACTAAGATTTCTGATTTAAAAAGATTAAAATTTTTTGTTTGTGTGGCTGTATTGACTCCAGTGCTGCAGTTAAGAAATTTAGGTTACATTGTGCCTTGTGCATCAACAGGATTGTTCTGTGATTGTTTTCCTGATGGACCTTATTTGTTTGGTGAAGAAACCTGGGACCTTAATTGTGGATTTCCATTCAGCTTTATAGAACCATAATAATTAAATTTTAAAAAAACAAACTCACTCTTCATTATGTAAATTGAGTGAACTTTTTCTATAAGAAATCCTAAAAGCATAGAGCTAGAATACCACTGCATCTTTGTTGTCTCTCCCTTTTCTTTATTTTCAGGGAATAACAGTGCCTTTTTTTTTTTTTTTTTTTTTTTGGTAGCAGACAAGCAGTTCTGTTCAGTTGCTATAAAGTGGTACCATGGTTACTACTGTTTCAGGTGATGGGCAGAGGGATAAATGTGGAGAAGGGCCTCTCAAGTAGGTTTTCAGGATTTCTAGACTCTATGCGTTGTAATAAAGTGTGTATTTCTGTGAAAGCCAAATACTGGTAATGTAAACTTTGCAGCCCGTAAAGTTGCAGAGGATTACTGGAGGGCATACTTTTTTTTTTTGGGGGGGGGAGGGGTTAAAATTTATTTATTTATTTTGG